AAATTTCAGAAGGATTCAGCTGGGTCGTTTCCTTTTGGGATCTCTCATGCAGTTGCAGGCAGGTATTGACTGGGGCTGCAGTCACCTGAAGGCTTGATTAGGCTAGATGTCCAAGACACCTCATTCACATGGCTGGCAGGTGATGCTGCACTGCTGGCTAGGGCTCGGCTGCAGCTTTCAGTCCGAAGTGGCTATATGTGACCTCACCATGTGTCTTGGCCTTCTCAAGTCAGGTGTCCTCAGGGTAGCTGGAATTCTTATGTGGCATCTGAGGACTCCAGGTAGAAGTGCTCAAGTGAGCAAAATACAAGCCCAGCTTTGGAGAACTCGTGCAGGATGATTTCCACTGCATTGTATTGCTTAATCATCTGGTTACAGATTCAAGGGAGAGGGCATAGATCCCATTTCTCAATGGGGACAGATGTTAAGACCACATTTTAGGAAAACGTGAGATGGGAGGTGCTGGAGACATATTTCAAAAAACAATCTGCCATGCTTTGTCAATCTAGATAATTATTCACCCATTTTGGGGATTTTTTGAAATTACTTAATATATTCATCCCCTCCACTATTTCCCTTTCAAACTCCTAATATTCAGATGTTTGACACGTAGGTTGATCTAATTTTCTTTCTCTTCAATTTTTTATATCCTATCTTTAAAAAAAAAAGTTTCTATTGATTTTTAAAGAGAGGAAGGGAGAAGGAGAGATAGAAACATCAATGATGAGAAACATCATCGATCTGCTGCCTCCTGCTCAGCCTGACTGGGGATCGAGCCCACAACCTGGGCATGTGCCCTGACCGGGAATCGAACCTCAAATGCTTGGTTCCTGGGTGGATGCTCAACAGCTGAGCCATACCTGGCAGGGCCTCCTTTTTAGCCTATCCTAAAGTTTCCCTATTTTATCTCCCTAGTCTAGTGACATTTTAAATTTGCTACTATACTTATTATTTATGTGACTTTTCCTTAATGTTTCTTATTTAGAGAATATTGTTCATTCATTTATTCACTGTATGCGTTTGGAGTATTTACCGCATGCCAGGCATTACTTCAGGTGCTAGGGATAGAGCAACCAACAAAACTAATTTCAGCTCTCATGAGGCTTATATTTTTTTAGTGGGGAGATAGGCAATAAACAAGAAAAACATGCAAAACATTTCACGTATGCCTTGATTAGGACGAAGGTAAATAAGGCCAGGAGGAAAAGAGTGTGTCAGGTGGTTGTTTCACGATGCAACATCCCATCTCAGTGTTTTGTCAAAACCCTCTTTCACACCTTGCATCATCTCCATTTTTCAAAGTTTCCATTTTCTGTGTGTTTTTTTTGTGGTAGAAGTTTTCCTTAACTCTGGCTCATGATGATGATAGGGCTCTGAGGAGCTGGTTGGAAGCCCTGTCAATGGATACAGCCTGCCAGATGAAAGGCTTCTCTGCTTTTCTACTAGGTCCCAGCTGCCAATGTTTATGGGTCTTTTTATGGGGGGCCACTGTCTGAAGCCATATGGCTGAGTGGGAGAAGCGGGACTGGGCTCCCATATGAGTGAAGGCTTTCACTCAACTCCCGATTTCAGTGGCCCTCAGTGATGCCTTATGCCTGAGTTCACACCTAGTCTGGCTCAGCTGATGCAGGCTTCCACCCAGGCAGGGGAAAGGATACAGGCCACCCTGCTTCTTATTCAAACTTTCTACCATTTCCTCCAATTTCTGCGCCTTCCTGGGGTTCACTGGCAAGAATGGTCTCTTTTCTTGATGGCTTTGCCCCCGGACATAGGTTTCATCCTTCCCTTGCTGTCAGTTATCACTACTGCTTACATTCCTAGCCTCTACAATTTTGTTGATCTGTCTTACTGCTACTTCCTCTCCCATTCTTTCACTGTGAGTTTTTATCTCTGTTATGACTTTATGTATGTAGAGTGTGGGTGGGAAATGGAAGCCAATAGCTGTGCTTGGTATGACATGTTTAACTGGACCCCCAGCCCCCAAACACATTTTAAAACTCTGTCACGGATTCACATCTAATCAATTCTCAGAGCTCACTTTACAATCCCCCCAAAACTCCTGCACGTATCACCATGGCCTTCACAGGCTTCAACATCCCCTGTTCTCTCTTTCTGGATATTCTTTCTCCTCTAGACAGGAAGCTATTGGTGCCCCAAGGCTCACCCTGGAGATTTTTCATTCTGGAATACTCCCTAGTTGATCTCATCTAATCTTTGTTTTCAATTATCACCTGACAACAGATGACTCCCAAATTCCTCACTCTAGCCTTGTTCTCTCTCCAGAACACAAGCCTACTCAACGTATCCACATGAATGTCAAATGGGCATCTCTGTCTTAACATATCCCCCAACCTAAGTTGAAAAGTCCCCCCAAACCTTCCCTACTTTAGAAAATGACACTACCATATGCCCGGTTGTCCATACCAAAAAACTCAGAGTCTTCTGTATCTAGTTCATTGAACAAGCTGGAATTGGTAGGGTGCAAGCAGAGAGCATTATTCTTACTCTCATGACTGTCCCTAGAAACTCTGATCTTTGTGACGCTCAGGCGGAATTCACAGTTTTTTCCTCCCTTTCTTACATATATACAAAAAAGAGGATTATAATTTTGCTCATAAAAAGTCAAAACTCAAACTCTGCCCCAAACTGAAACCTCTTCCCTCCCTGGAGGATGGAGTCCTTACTCCTACTCTTTGTGTTTCCACGTGGAGGAACATCCCCAGAGAAAAACTTCCAGCCTCTTTTCCAGGGAAGTGTGAATCGGTGAATCTGGGAGAAGAGACAGGGTCAAGTAGGCTCAGGCTCCTCTGGGTACAGTTTCCGGGGTCTGTAAGGCTCACCGGTCTTCTCATTACCTGGCCACATGGTATCTGGTGGGGCAGCTCTGCGGCAGGAAGGCGGCAGTGATCCAGTTCCCTCAGAGGCTGGGAGGTATGTTCCCCTGATTTAGAGATGGATCAGGATCTAGCCTTCTTGACTTCAGATCTAAGCCACATTCTCCAAACTACAGTTGTTGTTTTCAACCTGAGGCAGAGCTGATATTTTGATATCCATTCATCTTATTGCTATGTCTTCTTTACTCATTTCTAAACTGGGATAGGAAGAGACAAGCCTTCTTTACTGGCCATCTACACCCCTCCCCTCCCCAATATTCCACTAGTAGGGAGGTGTGCCTGTGTGTGTGTTTTCTTTTGCAAAGACCCCCGCCCCCCTCCCCAACTTGCCCCTCTGGGTTGCTGGGGTTCAGGGGCATGGAGGCAGGACCCAAGGGATGGGTACAGGAACCCTCACTGGCTGGACGGTCCTAAGCTGATGTCTAGGGCTTCTGTGAGGCAGATGAGAAATGTCTGGGGCCCTCTGGCTGTAGTCCTTTCCATGTCAGCACCGTGGCCCCAGATGTTCTCAAGTCTCCCCAGTCCCAGGCTTCTGCTCTACACCCCTTGGGCCACTCTGCCCCGCCCCCCACACCATCCCCTCCCTGTCCAGCAGCCTCCGTCAGGCTTGGCCACTCCCTCGTTTCCATCTTTCTCTCTCTCCCCTCCACTGCTAAGGCCTTGCATCTTTAACTAACCCTGGGAACCCCAACACTCCTGGGACCCCCTGGGAGTAACTGACGCCCTCGCTTGGCCTCGCCCTCCCCAGGGCCACGGAGATTCCTGGCACCTCGGCCTCACCCGCCCAGCCCCACCGGGAACCCTGGGGCGCAGCCTCCCGACGAGCCCCTCCCCTCCGGAGCCCTCCTTGCCTCGCCGCGGCCCCGGAGCCCGCCGCCCACCATCTTCCCTCACAAACTCCCTCGCGCACTTGGGCACCTGCAGCCGCGGCCTCGGCTGTTCCTCCCGAGCGCGAGCTTCTTCCTGCCTCGGGTGCCGGCCCTCGCTCTCCCCTCAGCCTAAGCCTCGCGCCCACGTCCCCCCCGCCCTCCGGCGCTCCAGCGGGGCGGGACC